AGGGGAAGAGTCAAAACAGAGTCACAGGAGTCATTGACTCACTAAGAGAGTCGTGAAGTGTCAAAGGGACTCATGGAGGCAGCGAAGAGAGTCACGGAAGCAGCGACTCCCTTTGGACTCCTTTTTTAAGAGTGTATGATGACGGCGCAACCGTGCTAAAAGCAATATTTTCAATATATCACTGAAGTTTTAGAACAAACCCTTGCAGTCAACCTTTTAAAAAACATTGAGCTGCAATCACAGCGCTTGTTTTCCTAACCGACACTGCTTATACTCAGCACCGTGATCCAGGCAAAGAATTGAGCAGAAAGGAGTGATCAAAATCGTTCACTCTAATTAATACGCGCCTTCCGTACTCAGATTGAATCTGGCATAAATATCGCATACCCAAGTGAACATTTTTTTGCACATGATAAATTGGCATAGCTTGGCTGTTGAGGCTTGTTCTTGACAGGATGTCGGTCAATTGAATTTGAAAATAAGGGTCACCCTTACTAACTGATATTTCTTGTCATGTAGAACAAAATAGTATTTCATGCTCTACTCGACATGGCAGTTATTTAATTTGGAACTTTCTGACGGTCTGCATGCGTAACCGTCATAGTTCCGTCATTCTTCCAATGTGCTTTGTTTCTCTCCAGCCGAAAGACATAAAATTGCTGTTCATGACATAAAAGAGGCAATAACAGATTTCTATGCGGGGAGCAAATCGTCTGTTTCTTGCGCAGGGGTTGCGATGGCGTCAGAACAACGCCGAGCTGGGAAGGGCTTTGATTGAAATGATTGTGGGTAGACCTCAATATTAGATGCTTCTTTTTTTTTAATCAGCCAATAAGAGCTAGGCTTTCTAACATCATAAAAACCCCAGTGCAAGAAGCAGACGAACTTGCGCTTCGCATAGTTCTGAGAAGCTATGTATGTGCCAGGAACAAATCGTTATTTGAGGCTCTCCCAAAAAGCTTTGCGCCTATCGAGGATAAAAACGCCGGAAAAGTTTTGCAGAGCATCTTTAAGATAGCTTACGGGCGCATTTACTTATGATGTATATTTTTAAGGTGATCAACAATTCACTTATGTTGTCAAGCTTCCAGTCAGTAATTTAATGTAGTTTTTTATCATCATTTAATTGTGACTGTATTAAGTTCACATAACTAAAAATATATGTGGATTGACGGGCAAGTTACTTGTTGACAAACATGGTAAAACAGTAGGAAACGAAAGACAAGAAAAACCTTTTAGTTCCATGTTTGCGCTCGTCCTGTGTTTTGCTTCGATGGCCCGTCTTTTATGTGCTACTCTTTTACCGCGTCAAATAACTGCTTTAGGCCGATACGGGAAGACGATATTCAAAAATACGCCAGCTGTCGAGCTTGTGCAAACTTACTCTTTTCCCTGCTTGGCAGTGTGAAACACCGGGTCGCGGGATATTCCAAAAAGGACTTTGTGCTCATATGAAAGATGTGAAGTCAAATACACGATATGGGCAGAAAGAGAAAGATAATAAAATGGTAATTTTCAAAAGAATTTAATGCACGCGAGGCCTTGCCGCAAAAATTAATTATAGAGATGCAATGAAATTTCAAATACACATAAATAGCACGAAGGAAACACAAATATTTTTATAATCCTAATATAAATCACAATCGGGCATGAGCTTGCCGGAACTAAAAACTTCGCGAAATATCGCCTCGGGAGGCTAATGTTACATTCGGTTTGACGTGCACTTGTTTTCGGCCCTCACTTTACAACTCTGTGCTTTATCAGTCGTGCGCTCAAAACATTTGATTGGGCTGCACAGATTACCGGGGGACTGCTATATATACTGAACAACTTTACAATTTGGACATCTACTTTTGCTAGTGTGGCGAGCATCGGATTTCACCAAGAAAATGAACTAGCTGTTTAACATGGTTTGCACGTGCCGTCGTTTCACTATATGTTGGTGGCAGGGATGGGCAAAATACATGCAAATATGTATCGAAATACAAATATGAAAACATCGTCAAAATGTATTTAAATACAAATTTAATTACATTTCCAGGAAAGTATTTAAGCACAAGATACCAATAGAACCAAATGCATTTGGTCTCCCCAAATACTTTTCCAAGTACATTCCTCTAAATTTGCGTCACCGATTTCAGGGCACTTGCGACGGGTTTCTGGGTATCTCATTTTAATTTTGCATCGCACACTCGGGAGTTAGTGTGCGAGGCTCTAGTAACGTCATAGAAATATAATCACAAAAAAATGTAAGCAGCTTGGACGTAATAGGAGAAAAAAGTGCAGAGCTCCAAGCAGTCTTTTTTTTTTTTTTTTTGTCGATTACATTTTGGTATAGACCAACAAAGAACCGAGACGACCAAGACGCGCAGCACTAGCTGGAAATTTTTTTCTTGTTGCAACTCGCACCAGTAACGAAAATCTCGACGACCCGCGCATTTAGAATGTCCCAGGCAAAAATATGGATGGAAATCAGGCTGGAAAGCTTCACAAGTTGTCACAGGCACTTATTTAGCCAGTCTGCCTGTGAATGTCGATTTCGTCACTATTCTTGCCCGGACTAGCACCGTAATCACAAAGTCACTGAACGCTTGTGCTTTGATTGAGAGACGCTGCATTCCGTGCAGAACGTAGTTTTCTTCCTGCTCTGGGCAGTGACAATAAATTTGAGGGATGTATTTCTGCCCACAAAATTGTATTTAATTACAATTGTATTTGAAATACCCACGTTTTAGTATTTAAATACACATGTCAAATACATTACCCAATTTGTAATTAAATACAAATGCAAAATACACAAAGTATTTGAAATACGTATTTCAAGGACTTGTATTTGAAATATTGCCCATCCCTGGTTGGTGGTAGTTGCAATTTGTTCTTGGTAAAAAATTAAATCAGATATAGTGCAAAATGGACGCTGCGGAAGTTTCGCGCTCGGTGCAAGCCATTTATTTGAGAGACAATATATTCTCTCTTGTACAGCGTTGTGAGGAACGGCAAGAGCTTCTGGCACCACGAAAATTTGTTTTCTGGCAAGAGTAATGTGTGCAAAGATTGTAGTTGCCGGGGCCACGCTTTTTGGTCTGTGCCGAACATGCGGAGTACCTTTACAACAAGGTGCGTTTTTAAAAGTAACCCTCCCTCCCACCCCCCACCCTTCTTTTTTTTCTTTTTTGGGTGCTACTTTAGCGAATGCTTTTCATTGCTTAGGAATTGTTCATCCATTTCGGGTGTTAATTTGGCAATTATTTTTGTGCCCACTTGTGTACAGTAATTTTCCATTGCTTTTATTTGGCACCCAAATATTGAACAAAATACGGAAGTGGACGAAGCTTGGGGGAAATTTGAGGACACTGTGAGATTTAGAGCCGCTGGCAACGTTCTGCTGTTCCTGCGAGGCCACTAAGAACTTGCTTTTCAGGTATCCCTCCCGTAGACAGTTGTATGTACCATCGGATTAATGACTCACATTCAATCAATTCAATGCTTCTATTCCTGAGGAAAACTATCTAGAGCAGCCCAGCAACAAAAAAAAAAACGTGTTTAGGTGCCTCAATGATGCGCACGTGCAAAATGGGTCATGCAACTGTTTTTGTTTTTTTTTACTTCCAGTAATGGTTGTTAAGTACGAATCCCTGACGTTGATAATTTGCACAATGCCCATAAGTTTTTTTCTTCGCGCAATGACAGACGCAGAAAAATAAAGGAAAGAAACTGCTTTCCGCCCCTCAACTCGCAATTAATCAGCGGCCACGTGAACTGACGCTAATTATATATACGTCAGAGTTCATCATACTCGTGCACTGGGGTTGGCAAAGCATAGAGCTTGGGCTGAGCTTCAGTCATTGTTAGAGTTCGGCTATTCTCATCTTTAATTCAACACGACCCATTACGCGAATCTTTAGCGATGGTGGTTGTCATGAACCCGAGCACTAGACTCCGTTTCATGAAAGTCGAGTACGTTAGGGTGCAACATGGCTTGCGGTACGAAGTCATTTTGTCATGTGACGTCACTGTGTCAACAACGCGAATACATCTAGTGACGTTCTAAATTAAAATCGATTTGCCGCAGCGAGTTACGCGACTACATCACGTGACGTCACGGGGCCACGTGACGTGACATTATATGAGAGCATGTCTTCAGACTATGGTGGCTGGAGCAAGTCTCTGACTGGTCTGTTTAGCGTCCCGTCCCCATCCCACCCTAACATCATAAGGGCTCTCAAAGTATCACCAAATGACGCCACAGAAGCCGGAGTGTTCTGCTGTCGGATGTGGCGATCCTGGTTGTTGGTCGGAGAAATGCTGGCGAAAAGCACGAGCGTATGCGAGTGTCGCTGTCGGCGCGGCGTCCCAACTTCTGGTTGCCGAAGCTACCGTGAACTGCCACATTGGAGAGCGACTTGCAGCAGAACAGGCATCTGCAACATCAACCGCCGCTGCTGGGCCACCGCCAGGATCAAGACCGGTAACAGCATGACACTTATGTGACGTCATCAGGTGGAAATTGAGGGACCACTTTTTGGGCGCGGTAAGCAAACCAGTCGGAGACGCGTTCCAGGCACCATGTACGTCAAGTGGTCACGTGACACATGATATTAATCATAGTGCCAATGCAAAAGCGCCACGAGGACCCAATCTTTCTCACCCATTGCAATTCTGTATATGGCGATTTGATCAAAATAATAAATACAGCTCCCAATTTTTTTATTCTCACATTATTTTGTCATACTAAGAAAAATATTTTAAAAAAATAAAAATTTACCGTGAACCGTTTTGAGCCGGTTGCCGTCGTATTTTATTCCGGCTTAGTTCCGTTTCAGCTTCAAGATGGCGGCGAAATTTTCGGTTCAGTTCAGTTCCGGTTCGACTAAAAATAACAGTTTGGTTCGGTTCCGGTTCGGCACACTGGACAAGACAATAAAACTTGTGGTGAAAGCGACACTGACCCCCCCCCCCCCCTTTTTTCTTTTTTGCCAGGCGATCTATATGGTGTCAGAAGACTACAAAGTAAATATTTCGTTATAGCGTCACGTGTATTGTTAATAAAGTAAAAAACGCAACTGCTCGAAACCGAAACTGCTCTGGAGAGGAGGACAAAATATAGCATTCAGTTCACGTGCACCCTATTTTCAACCATGAAGGGTTACCATATTCAACCCTTACGCCCTTATTAAAACCATTTATTTTTAATGATTACGGATCAACCACATCAGTTACAGAATTTTGAAATTGAGCTAGATTTCTCTCCATTGTAAGCGATTCCCAGGAGTTAGACAAACAAAAATATATACACTTTTCGACGCAGATAATAGTTAGTCGTAAGCATAACAGGCATATTGATCCGTATCCGTACTTTTCTGATGTATTTAAATTGTGTTCTTTGTGAGATGACTAGAATAGTTTGCCTGAAACCATTGTAAATAGTTCAAGCGCATCTGCGTTTGAAAGAAGCATTGCCTCGTATTTTCCCGTGTAATGTCGTACCGTATAGTTTGATTGTGAGCTCTTTTCGACTATGTAAACACTCCTGCCTTGGCCAATCAATAGCTGGCGGTGATGAATAAATAAAGTAAAAATAAATATACCTATTATTAAAACTGTTTTGTCGCCATGCCAAGGGGATTTTTTTTTTTTTCGCTTCTGGTTGGCCAAGAGAGCTTGCCAAGCCCTCTACTGCGTCTGGTGCACAACCTGCATGTGCTCGCGCCTCTCATTGACCAAACTCTCTATACACGCGTCCCTAAAGACCGGTCGAGCGCTCCCATCGCATTGCAATATTTCTACAAAGTCGAAATATTACTATGAACCAAACATATGGTTGTTGTTAAGGTTGTTGTTTTCTAAATTACAGCATTTCGTGAGTGAAATAAGAATGTATACCATGCCTTGGTGGCGTTGCATGTGCGGGATGCTTGGGTTTTTGCGTCGTGGCGGAAAAACGCTGTTCTGAAACTCTCTTGCATATGTGCTTTAACGCAAGCCATAAGTTTAGCGCTAGCGTGCGTTCAAATTGTGGACGTTAGTCTAAAACTTCCAATTGTAAAACGATAAATTTGGGAATGAAGTGCAGACACTCTACGCGTCGCTTATTCAGCGGCCCTACAGTGCTCTGTTGCAGCTTACGATGAACCGCAGCTGATGCTACGGACAGCCAATTTTGCACCATGCACGTAGGTAGCACTTCACTCCGCGCCACGCCGCGCACATTTCCCAGGTCACGTGGCAATCACGCTGAATTGGCTCCGATGGCTCGTGGCCTACCGCCGCAGTTTGAGCTAAAACGGGAGCATTTTCTAGGGCAGGCGTCTCGGAGCGGTCCTGTGATTATGCGTCCCATCCGAGTCAGCCTTCACGCACGGTTTATGATGCCGCCGCCGTGTCAGGAGTCCAACAAGCTCAGCGCCCTCGGAGGGCTCGGGTAGAAGCCCCGTGGCGTGGCGGAACCGTCGAACGCCGGCAGTCTGCGGGTGAGCGGCAGCTCGGCGAGCACGTCCACGCTGGGCACGGCAAGCTTGGCGGCAGCACACAGGGTCCGCGTCCACAAACTCGGTACCCTCCCGGACACAAACAGCGAGCCCCAGTTCTTCTCGCACTCATCGCTTAGGGTCTCTTCGCAAGCCATCTCTCGAACAATGGCCACAGTGTCGCAGCAGCCACGCGCGGCAAGCACGTCGTCCAGCAACGAGTCCCCGATGTACAAAGCTCGCCGAGAACCCAGCCAGCGACGACGTAGGACTTCGCTCCAGCTTCCCTGGCAGTACATTCTTCCCGGCTTTAAGGTCTCGTCGGGCGTCAGTGGCCGCGTCTCGTCGCCCGCGTGCTTCAGAAATGGGCGCTTGTTCGAGAAGAATCCCGGCTTCCGGGCGTCCACAATGACTAGGTCGAAGAGATCCATCCAGTCGTCACCGAGGCAGTGCCGCGCCATCGACCTTACCACCGGGGCTTCGGCGCTGGTCAGCAAGAAGGTGCGCTTGCCGTCTCGCCGCAAGGCGCGCAGCCAGAGCACCACGGACTCGGAGCATCGATGCACCAGTTCCTGCGGTCTCTCGACCAGCGTTCGAACCCAGAAGCCCGTCGGCCCGTATACGTGCGAGAAGGCCTCCAGCATCTCGGTCCAGAGCGGTCGCAGTGGGGCGTCCGACTGGTCCGACGCGGCCTCGGACACGAGCTGAGCGTAGAGCGGCTCGGCCGGCACGCTGAAGTCATCCCTGAAGCATGCCCAGCCCGGAGGGGGCGCGGGCGTGTCCATGGCCCATGGCACGGCCAGGCCCCCGTACAGGCGGCCCGCATCGGGAACTGGCCGAACGCCGCGAACGGCGCGCTCCACGCGGCCCGCAGCGTCCAGTTTGAGAAGCAGACCTCGGTCTGCGTCCACGACGAGCCCCTTCAGCGGGGCCCAGCCGACCGGCTCGCCCAGCACCCGACCCTTGGAGACGAGGAATTGGCGCACGTCCCGCTGCACGGCCGTAAAAAGAGCGCGCATGTCGTAGCTTGCCAGGGTGTGGTCCAGGTCGACACCCACGGCACCGTAGTCGGCCAAGCTGAAGGTCGCTACACCTCGAGCCGGCAGAGCACCACGCAACGTAGAAGCCACCGCGGCAGAAGCGAACGACCACGCCGTACGCGACTTCACGGCCGCGGACATCTTGAATTGGCGAATAGTAAAGAAAGAACCGCAAAAGCGAGCACCGATCGCCGAGCCGACAGGACCGCTGCGCCACCTCTCCACAGAATAGAGAAGCATTATCTCACGTGTACCATTCATAACGGGAGATGGCGAAGCAAGCGCTGTAGAGACTCTGTGTAGAGAATTAGAGAGCCTAGATTGAAGAGAGGGTCCAACTGAAACCACGTGGAGCGTTTGCTGTTTAAAAACCTTTTGTGGAGATTAGTCGCGAGTACACCTGGGCTTCGTTCTCTTGTGGCGAGGAGGAAAGTAGGCATGCTTACAGATGATCAACGCTCTGGGCTCGTATGCAAACGCTGCCCATAAACCACGTTACCTTAGTTGAACAGTTGGAAACTCTATGATAGAGGCTTTCCCGAGAATATTCAAGAGCGAGCTCTGGGTTTTGAGCGCTGACCCTCGCATATGGACCTTTGCATATGGACAATATGCGAAATAACAGCTCCCTTAGCGGTTCAGGTTTACTCCGGAAGCATGAGACTGTACGGGTATAGTTTAGGTCGGTTTCGCCGGGTTGTGAATCTGTCAGCTGATGGGCATTTTCAGATAAGATCGAAGAATCATGTTCGGTGATCATTTTTAATTTTTATGGAAAAAAATATTTATATTTTGCTGGCTCTGTGCCCAGAAAAATAAAACCAATCCTTGTTCTAAAAAAAAAAAAAAAATTGTCTTTGCGAAAAAAAAAGTGTAAGTACCCCCTCAGTCCCGTGCGCGTTTTGCGTATCGCGCGATGTTGGCATTTCAAGCGGCTTTCCCCAAAAACGGTTTTAGCTAGGGGTCTAGAAATATTTACTGACAAATTAGGCATACGAAGGATTGACACAAAGTATTAATCACCGAGTATTCATGTCGTTATTTTGAGAAAACAAGTCGCAAATACGGCACATCGCGCAATAACGCTCTGGGTTAAATATTGTTTTCTAAATACCTATAAAAGATACGGCCTTCAAAATTTAGCAGTGTGTTGCCCTGTGTGTACTTCATCTTCACCGGGAAAAATTTACACGGATTACTCAAACACGGGCATTTCACTAAATATGCATTATTTCGAGAAATAAATTTTAAAAAAGACAAAACCAGGTTTAATATTTTTTTAAAACTCTCAGAAAGTAAAGTTTATAATATATACTAACAGAATATCTAGAACCGTGGTGCAATAGTTGTGTCGCTTTGAATTTACAAAAGCAAGAAATCTGGCCACATTGACATTCACCCAGTTGCTGTGAATGGGGTGTGCTCATGCCCCCCCCCCCCTCTCCCCCTCATCCTTGACAATTTCATTATTTTTGCAAATCGTAAAAGTGCTACTGGGTGGTCAGGAAAATTCAAATTGACAGCATAGAGGTGGACGGTAGTTTTGAAGGGAAAATGCCGAACACATTTTTGTACAACCGACCCAAACATGCGCATGGGCCGAAGCGATCCAGACGTGCCACAGGCCTCTCACACGCTTCGCGGTGCCTGTTTCAAGAGTCGGTGTGCAGCGACTCTGTGTACGCGGCGTGAAGGAAGCAACCGGAGTGACTTTGCAAGCAGTTGAGCCTAACACCTTGGCGGTAACATTATATAGGAGGTGGGGCGCGACAAAACCTGCGCCTCCTGTGAGCGTCAATAATCCACCGCTGCAGAAAACCGCACGACGCAAAAAAAAAAAGAGAAGAGAGATCCGATTGATTGAGATTGTCTGCATTGGGCGTTTTCAGATAGGATCGAACGACCATCTCCGGTTGACATTTTTCACTTTTTACCAAAGACTATATTTTACTTCTTGTAAAGACAAAAAAAAAAATTCAAACTTTTTTTTTTTTTGCGGAAAATGCACTTTCCTTTGAAGAGCAAAAATCACAAAGTCGCTGTCGGTATACCCAGAGGTTTTTTATACTTTCGTAAAACCATCCATTTGGATATTTATAAAAGTAAAAACGGTTGTCGCATTAAGCTTAATATTTTTTTTTTTTTTTGCAGGGACTGTGCATAAAATAAGATGTTAACATGTATTGTCAATTATGAAGCAATTCAGAGCTTTATGAATCCGGATCTTAAAAGACTGCAAATTGAAAGCTTATAACATGATTTGGACGCATGTGTTCAATATTCGCATGAATTCTCACTTAAAATGAAAACGACAACCTTTCTCAGAAATACGTTCGAATGTAGCAATAATTGAAGATCTGTTTAAAATGAAGGCGTAATTTTTCTTCTACTTTCACAGATCAAGGCTCATAATCTGTCCTATATAGGGTGACCAGACGTCCCGTTTTTTGGGGGCGGTCCCGTTTTTGAGGTCTGCCTGTGCGGTCCCGTCTTTTTGCCCCAATAAAGAACCATGTCCCGTCTTCGTAGAAGCGCATAGTTTCGAAATTGGCACCAAGGGAGTTGATGCAAACCGAAACTATGCCTACTCGTTACAAGCGTATTTTACAAAAATAACCGTAGGTACTTTAAGATAATTACTCAGAGAGTAAGATGTAGAACTGTTCTTGCCTACAAACACCTGCTACAATCTCTATCTGGCTGCTAGCGCTACCAGATTTCATAGCGGTAGTTGTCGGTTACCTCGATTGCCATCACGAGACATTAAATCACTTCTTCTTCAGTTCCTGAAGCGAAAGGAACGACGGCGTCATGTTTCTGCTTAGCCGGCCACGTCCTGCCGGCCGTGCGGTCTATCCCCGCTTGTAACAATTGGCGACGAGAGAAAAAGACTTCGTTCAAGTTCTTCGAACGTCGCAAGTTCGCGACGTGAGCACCAGGCATTCTTCAAGCTTCCCAGCTCGCCATGCCCACGTTCGGCAGAATTGAACCTTTTGAGGGAGAAGGTGAGGAGTGGCCGTCATACGTCGAACGTCTTGAAGCTTTTTTTTTTCTGCGAACGACGTTGACGATACCAAGAAGGACATTTTCTTCAGCTGTTGCGGCGCGAAGACCTACTCCCTACTGCGAGACCTGGTGAAGCCCGCCAAACCACAAGATAAGTCTTTAGACGAGGTTCTTGACGTTCTCGGGAGTCACTACTGCCCCAAGCCTTCTGCTGTCGTTCAATGGTTTCGTTTCAATTCGCGTGTTCGCGCGGAAGGGGAGACCGTAAGCAAGTTTGTTGCAGCATTGAAGAGCCTGTCGGAGCACTGCAATTTTAGAACAGAACTAGGGAACATGCTGAGAGACCGCATAGTCTGCGGAATAAACAGCGTTACAATCCAGACCAGACTCCTGGAGCGGCCGGACCTCACGTTCGAGGATGCCGTGCAGACCGCCTTGGCCATGGAAGCAGCGAAGAAGGACGCCGGAGAGATTTGCCAGGCAAGCTCGAGCACCAATGCGTTCACGACTCACCGCGTCACGACACCGGCGGGAGACGTCACCTGCTACCGCTGCGGAGATGGACACCTTGCGTCCAGCTGCAAGCATGTGAATACTACGTGCAACTACTGCCGGACGCGGGGACACCTGTCGAAGGTGTGTAATTCAAAACAGAAGGACGCTCCGTCGTTCAAGAACAAACCTGCGAAGCATCGTTCTTCAGGGCCAGGACGCAAGTCCCGTCTTCCTCATACACTTCCAATTAATGTCCTGGATGACAACACTGAAGATAGCGGAGTGACATCGTCCGAGGTTTTTGACATGTGGCAGGTTGACAGCTCTGTGCCGTCACCGCCTTTCACCGTCACTGTCAACGTCTGCGGCACGCCACTGTGCATGGAGATGGATACGGGAGCGACTGTCTCCGTCATGTCAAAAAAACGGTTTCAGGAGTTACTTCCAGCCGTACCTGTCAAGCCATCTATGGTGATGTTGCGAAGTTATTCCGGGGAACTGACTCCGGTCCAAGGAAAAATTTATGCAAGAGTACAGTTCCAAGACAAGGAGGCGGTTTTACCTCTCTTCCTTACTGGAGATGGTTCCCCTACACTGCTTGGACGCAATTGGATTCGAGAACTGGGAAGCAATTTCTCGGAGGTGGAGGCAACCGTTCATTCTCTCTCTCTGATGTGAAAACTCTGGTTCACGAGTTTTCGAAAGTCTTCGAGGAAAGCCTTGGTACCTTCAAGGGCAGGGAAGCCACTATTCATGTTCCACAAGATGCTCCTACGAAGTTCTTCAAGCCACGTCCGCTACCTTTTGCCTTGAAGGATGGGGTTACACAAGAGCTCCAGCGCCTACAAAGAGAGGGTGTCATTGTACCAGTAAAGACATCAACCTGGGCTGCGCCCATTGTTTCTGTGGCCAAGAAGGATGGCCGTGTGAGGATTTGCGGTGACTTCAAAGTTACCATAAATCCAGTGGCAACATTGGAGAAGTACCCCATTCCAAGGATCGAAGACCTGTGGGCCACGCTTTCCGAGGGCGAGAAGTGCACAAAGTTAGATTTCAGAGATGCCTACCAGCAAGTAGTTCTCGAGCAAGACTCCAGGAAGTATGTGACCATTTCGACACACATGGGTTTGTTTCAGTACACCCGTCTTCCTTTCGGGGTTTCGTCGGCTCCAGCTATCTTCAATGGGAGATGGAGAACTTGTTCCGAGGACTGCCACACGTTGCTGTGTACTTTGATGACATTCTTGTCACTGGCACGCCCGACTCAGATCACCTTCACAATCTTCGTTGTGTTCTCGTTCACCTTCGGGACATTGGACTCAGGCTGAGATCCGACAAGTGCCTTTTCTTCTTGCCTCAGGTAGAATACCTTGGGCATATCATCAGCAAGGAAGGACTGTCACCAGGTCTCGGCAAGGTGGCAGCTGTCCTACATGCCCCGGCACCACGAAATGTCAAGGAACTTCAAAGTTTTTTAGGTTTAATCAACTTCTTCCGACGATTCCTTCCTAACCTGTCTGGACGTCTTCGTCCACTGCACTTGCTTCTCACTGACGGGAAGAAGTGGGAGTGGGGAAAAGACCAAGAGGAAGCTTTCACGTCAAGCAAGCACCTCTTGACCTCAGCTCCGATTCTCGCTCATTTCAACCCAGAGAAGCCTG